TCCAGCTCCCCGCCCAGTCGATTGACTCCATATTTCATTTAGGCAATAAGGACTCGGACTCGGTTGATGTATTACTTGCAGGATTTGACGATGGAGCCGTCCATATAAGGATTTTTGATTCCTTTGAGATCGGCTCTATCCACGTCCAGCAGCCGCTTGATAGCTGCGAGGGTAGTCGAGCGCTAGTGCATGCTTCGCATCCAATGAGTTCAACACATGCATTTTTGTTCAGAGGGATGTCAGGGGACACAGAGCGCCTATGGATCTTTTCGTTGGACCTCCTATTTATCACTAAGTCTGGAAGGTATCTGTCGGTGCTGGCCTCTAAAGTGACACAGTTGCAGAATTTACTACGTTATATCAAGCAAGTGCAAACACAGATCCATCTAGAATGGAAGAACTCGCAGGATTTGCCCGGACGGTATCTCAGAAATATAAATGAGGATTTACAGGACAGGCTGAATTGTGATTTTGTTACTGCTGCTTACCATCTGGTTGTCACCGGAGACTGTTTTGAGCCTCTTAAAGAATTTCTGGTGGATCAAGTTGGCGAAAGGGTATGAATTACGGTCTTTCTGGTGCGGATTGGGCCTGCGCGCTAATTGAAATTCAGGGTCACAAACGATGGGACAAAGCAGTAACTAACGGGTACGAGACGGTCAGACGCCTGACGCATGAGTGTCTCTTGCCGGCTTTGGAGAGATGCAGTTTTCTTCTTAGCCGGCTAATAGGGCTGTCTAAATTTCATAAATTGAGTCCAGTATTGGGGTTGGACACGAAAGAGCTCAAGGAATGCCTTGGCACTATTGACTGTCTTACACTCCTTGGGCACAAGGTTTTGATAAACAGCGGTCGCGAACTTGTCCAATTCGATGCATTTTCCAGGTGGCTGCGCTATGAGATTGACCTGCAGAGCACGGATCCGTTATCTGCAACAGCAGAGGAACTAATGGAAAAGGCAGATACGATCAACCACGGGCACACATTGAATTATCTGCAAGGGGGATTAATCCGAAGTGGGTTGCTTGATTTTATCCAGCCCACGATGCAAGAGCCAAGTAATGGCAGATGGAGCACCACTGATGCGGATGGTCTGTTTTACGAGAATTATAAAAAGACATTGCAGAAGCTGGCGAAGCGGAAACAGGGCGAAACTGTTGCCGCTCCCATGTTAAGTGACCTTACTGCGCGATTGAGTGTCCAGCTGCAGGGTGTATTTAAGCGGATCGCGGAAACACAGCGGAGAAGTATCTTGGAAAGGCATATTCAAGACCTGGGGATAGATATGGACCCGAACGCGGTCGATTTGACAATGAGCTACGAGGTATGCGTGAACTATTCGTTCCAGTGTGTACTACAAGGGCCTAACATAAACGAAGAATTACGAAGGCGTGCCTAAAGTGTCAATTTTCTTGGCTGCAAGAGCCAAAATGAGCACTCATACATGTAAGCATCCTCGACTGTTTGATATTCTCACCTTCGAGTACTAATATAGGTCCATAGTCTACCTCGAGCGGGTGGTTTTAACTACGGTCAACGGAGTGAGTTCAACGGAAGTGGTTCTTACTGCGAAAATCAGTTTTCAAAAGGGCTCTATCATGGATATCAAGTTTGTGGAAGACGGCACGATAATGCTTCTCTGGTCCGATGGAAGTATGTCATATGCACCCCTAGAACAAGATTCATTTTTGTTAATTGGCTTTCTAGACACTCCAGCTCTGAACCATCTGATTCAAATCCCGTACAAACCTGATGTTGATCCTTCGTTTTCTCTAAACTACGTGAAAAGGGACCATTCGGATCATCTAGCGTTGGAGGAACAGATCATTTACCTCGATCTGTTGACCCCATCATCTCACCACGCAAGCTTTGTCAGGCATACGTTCCCCCAACGAGAGAACATGGAACCTTTACATATAGAAGTAAACGGTCGTCGTGGCAGGAGGGTTGTTTGTGTCCTCTACTCGGACAGGCAATGGTATTCAGTATTCGATATCGATAGCGTGGATGATAGGGATGACGAGGATGAAGAAGACATAGACGAAGACGCTGGGAGTCGGCAGGGCGATCATGGCGATGTTAGAGAACGCCAGGCTATGTCCTAATACTATCTTTGCCTGGCATACTTGAACGGATTGTAGTCACTTTGTAGCCGATGCCAGTCACCACATCACCCGCTCATGTTATGTATGTACACACAATGACTACTGAAGTAAACCTTCTCAGGCGCTGACGACGCCACCAATGCTGCTCAGCATGAAGAAAGATAGGGCGACTGCTTGATGGGGTCCAGTCCATCTTCGCCTTTGCGGTTCACGTGTCTCTTTATGATCCCAACGTCTACTTGAGGCTATAACTACTCCGTGCGACGCGGTTAAAGAAGGATTGTCCTCCAGCCTGGGTAATAAATTGGGGATAGACTAAAACCCATCAATTGCCAGAAGGACGCCGTCCAAGCTGCATATCCACCGCTTGCCTCTCGAGAACGATGGAGACGGAATTCTCCGTTGAAGTTGGCGGGGGAGAGGTTGCAAGACTTGGCAGGCAACCGCCTGTCGCACAAAGCCGTGGCCACAGACGTTTTGCTAGGGGCACCCCCTTGCAACCTGCTGCCTGCCTCGTATTATTGGCAAAGCGCATGCATACTTCCACTCGAGCCAACCGCAAGCTTGAGGGCAGCAAGGATTCAATTTGGTGGTGGCATTTCAGATTGATGCGATCTTGCGAAGCTGAAAAGTTCAATCTGGGACAATTCGCCAATACGAGCGAGTGTGATGGAACGGGAATCACAGGTGTTGGGCTAGGGCGCACAGACGAGAACAAGCATGTGGGCCGTGTGCATATACTGTAGTGAGTGTGCATAGCGAGCATGGACGCCAGGCGCTTGATCTGGCCCACTTTTCGCTATCTGCTTGTTTACTCTTTTTTAACCACCACCTTTTGAGGCTACGCTCCTTGACCCTCCATACTGATCATCTCAAAGGCAGACATCCCTAATCCTTTTATTTCAAGCTCCTTTCTTACGCATACCATTTTTCTGAGCTTGATCTTCTCTCTGGTATGTTGTGGAATCCATCCTCGTGCATATAAAAGAAGAGTTTCTGAATCGCTTTTCGCTTTCTGCCAGGTTAAAAACGTACACTGAGGCACCTGAGTACCAGCCATGGATGTCAATCAGGTGCTGGCTGGCACTCTTTCGCCAGGTATGATATATCGTCCCCCTGTAATTGAGTGTTTGGTGGTCTAAAGTTGATGGACTGACTGGGCGCCTCTGATTTGCAGATGCCACAACTCGTCAAAATGCTGAGCAGCAGCTGCTACATGCTGCTGAGGTTGATTTCGTACGTCATAATCTATCTTTTCTTTCACTCTGTCAAAATATACCTGACCTCTCGGATTCCCGCCTCGGGGCATTCCACGGCTGCGTCGCCATCTCTCACATGCTTGGCTAACCGCGTCCTTGGACCTCGATAGGCTGGTTACCTTACTACACTTGCAGGTGAACTCGCAAATGAATCCGCCGCACCCGCTATTCGAACGGCCGCCGGTATTGCGCTCAAAAACGCTTTTTCATATCGAGATTTCGCTAGATTGAGGGAGGTACAAGGGAGATGGATTCATCAAATTAACCCCCAAGTTAAAAGCGCGGTGAAAGAATTAGCTTTGAAGACGTTGGGATCGCCTGACTCGCGAGCCGGCCAGTCCGCTGGTCAATTTATTGCTTCTATTGCCGCGATCGAGCTCCCCCGGAACGAATGGCCCGAGTTGATGAGCAACCTGGTTCAAAATGTTAGCGGTGGTTCAGACCATTTGAGACAAGCATCCTTAATCACTATTGGGTTTGTTTGCGAGTCCGATGATCCAGATCTCCGAGAAAGTTTGAACTCCCACTCAAACGCCATTTTAACAGCCGTTGTGCAAGGCGCAAGGAAAGAAGAGCCAAATAATGATGTTCGAAATGCCGCTATCACGGCCTTGAGCGATGCTATCGAGTTCGTAAGGTCGAACTTTGAAAATGAAGGCGAACGCAACTACATAATGCAAGTCATCTGTGAGGCCACACAATCAACTGATGTCAGAATACAAAGTGGCGCGTTCGGCTGCTTGAATCGTATTATGAGCAGTTACTACGAGAAAATGCGTTTTTATATGGAAAAAGCCCTTTTCGGCCTCACCATCCTGGGAATGAAAAGCGAGGAAGAGGATGTCGCTAAGCTTGCGATTGAGTTTTGGTGCACAGTGTGTGAAGAAGAGACTGCGATTGAAGATGATAATAAGATAGTAAGCACCTCTTTTGGAACTGCTCTTGTTTCCCCATCTAATATCAGACCCTTAGGCCAAGAACGAAGGATCGTCAATACTCCGGCCCTTTTTCAACTTTGCTCGCATCGCTTGCCGGGAGGTCGTTCCAGTGTTATTAGTACTGATGACCAAACAAGATGAGGACGCCTCTGATGACGATTATAATATTTCCCGCGCTGCTTACCAAGCTCTTGAATTGTACTCCAGCTGTGTTCACAACGATGTGATACCGCCTGTTCTAGAATTTGTGGAAGCCAACCTGAGAAATGATGACTGGCACCGTCGAGATGCAGCCGTGTCCTCTTTTGGTGCCATCATGGAAGGCCCTGAATTTGATACGCTCGATCCCTTGGTCAAGCAAGCCCTCCCTGTTTTGATTCAAATGATGGACGACAAGGTCGTTCATGTGAGGGACTCAGCTGCCTATGCTCTTGGCCGGATCACGGAATTTTGCCCAGAATCCATTGAAGTGGACAGTCATCTACAGCCTCTGATTTCCTGCCTTTTTCACGGTTTGGCAAGCAGCCCAAAGATCGCCGGATCTTGTTGCTGGGCATTGCAGAACATATCGGATCGCTTCGCTGGAGAACCAGGCTCTGACACCAGCGCGTTCTCTAAGCACTTCCAGGACAGCGTTTCATCCCTGCTTGCGGTCACTGACAGGTTTGTGAAGTGGGTCCATTTTCGGAATAATTGCTGACATTTGCTATGTAGGAGTGATGCTGACAACCTGCTTCGAACTGCTGCCTATGAGGTTCTCACCACTTTTGTCACAAATGCTGCTAACGATTGCCTCCCTGTCATTGCCAGTTTGGTTGATGTCATCATGGAAAGATTGGAGCGAACTGTTCCCATGCAACAACAAGTGGTTAGCGTTGAAGACCGTATCACCCTGGAAGAAGTCCAGACAAGTCTTACTAGTGTGCTTCTTGTAAGTTCTGCTAATCTAAACGACGCTCGTTGCGCTTATGAAACTTACCTTTGCAAAAGTCTATCGTGCAACGTCTGGAAACCGAAATAAAACCACAGGCAGACCGGATAATGCACCTTATGCTCAAAGTTTTGTCTACCCTACCTCCAAAGTCGAGTGTGCCTGATGCTGTTTTTGCGACTGTTGGCGCCATCGCTACCGCTGTGGAAGCGGATTTCTTAAAGTATATGGAGGCATTCTCACCATTCCTCTATAATGCTTTGGGCAATCAAGAGGAACCTGCCTTGTGCTCAATGGCTATAGGTCTTGTTAGTGATATCACTCGATCATTGAATGACAAGGCTCAGCCTTTCTGTGATACTTTCATGAACTATCTCCTGAACCTCTTAAGAGTAAGTTTCCTCCAATGTTTCTGAGTGGCTCGTGCTAATTATCACGTTTCAAGAGTAATACTCTTACCAATCAGCTGAAGCCTGCTATTCTCTTGACCTTTGGCGACATTGCACAAGCTATTGGGACTAGTTTCCAAACGTACTTGCCTGTTGTTTGTCAAGTTCTGCAACAGGCTTCTGACGTTACACTTGAAGACGACGTGTCTCAGGATACACTTGACTATATAACCTCTCTTCGTGAAGGTATCATGGATGCTTGGGGCGGAATACTCCTCGCTTACAAGGGTACACCTGAGGGTATGTAATCCCACAAACTGCGATCTGAAACAAGAAAATAGCTAAAGTTTTCCAGCCAATAACCTGACCCCATTTGTCGAATCGATATTCAAACTTATTAGTCAGATTTCGAATGAAGGTACGCGTAGTGAGGGACTAATGAGATCCACCATGGGTGTTATTGGGTATGCATCCCTTGCGCTTGGTCAATTTATTTGATACTAACAAAATTAGTGACCTGGCTGATGCCTTCCCTAATGGTGAATTTGCATCAATGTTCCGCAGCGACTTCATTTCTGGTCTTATAAGGGAGACTCGATCTACCCGGGAGTATGGCGGCCGCACAATAGATACCGCACGATGGGCCCGTGAACAAGTTAGACGTCAAGTCGGCCTCGCCACTGCAGCAGCAATGTCCTAAATGGAATTTACGATGACAATGTTGCCTAGCTCCTTGGGCTCTTTGTGCTTTCTCCAAGTGAGAACTTTCACGAAATTTCCACGACGCGGGTCCCGAAGGAGTGGAAAGTGAAAACCGAGTTTGTCCGATCCTCGAAAGTGACAAGATAGCCACTCGAAATGGAACAAAGAGATTCTCCTGAGTGGTGTTTTCTCGGAGGGATTAACATTTTATAGCACAGGACTTTTTCTGCATGCACTCAATTATCCCAACACGCCTAGCAGAATGCGCTTATTTCTCTGTCGCCTTCATCATGCACAAGCCCGCCCCCATGCCAGCAAGCATTCAAGCATTGCAGCCCTGCCCATTTCGCAGTACCCCTAATCCCCCATTGCACACTCCCCCGGTATGATGTATTGATGCTTGTTTCAGAAAGGTTTCCGTCCCCCAACCTTACACTTAAATCATGTATGCCCCCAAATCATGTATTTCCCTTACGACCTGGCATTTATGTCATTGGGCTAGGTTGTTTGGAATCTAAAATATCGGTTTTGTTAGTTATCCCGGCGGGCGTGGAGGAGAGAGCGGATCGATGGATGAACGAACGGACGTTCGAGAGGATGGAGGAGATTCTATCGCTTTGACCGGTCTTTTCTTCTTTTGCTCTGCTTATCTTTTTGTTTTCTTTTCATAACTTAGACACAGGCACAGCACCTTCATTATTGCCCTTTGATCCCGAATTCTAGAGCAAATTGTAATATCACCTTGCCTCCCCATCTTCCGCCTGCAGCCGTTCGTGCCTCCCCTCGATTAACGAGATACAAGTTATCACGTGGAGGATATATAATCAGGTACTACTGACCGGCTTTGACCGGACTCCTATCAAGCGCTCATACTCCAGGCCTCCCATTTTGCGTGATAGCTGCATCGATGCGACATAAATCCGATATATAGCCCACGTGACTACCAGATTTGAACCTTACTTAATAGGGTTAGTAGGTGACTAGTTAGGGCACAAAGAGGAATAACCCTAACTTGTGGGCGCTAGTGCCCTTCAAAGATATCAAATTTACATCGAAGCCTTCGCTGATCTCAGTCGCAATCGCATAGCCCATCGCCGTCAACGTCAATCGAGGTACGTACTCACGCCCCAAGCGGTCTTCAATCCAATCTTCTTCAGTTAGCTCGGGGAGAAGCAATCGTCTTTCCGCAGAAATGGCAGCGGCTAGGATGATACGCTTCTTCCCTGTGTCCCTGGATGGACACGGGCTGAAGAACCCTCTTCCCTTCCAAGTTTGCGAAGAGGGCACTCTTTGTGCTCGCTATAAAGAAGCTGCTGAAAGCTAACTTATCCCTCTTCGTTTCTCCCTTTTTGATCTCTTTGCCCTTTTCTTCCCAAGGAAAATGGGAAGATTGGGCGAGATTTCAAAAGGAGAAATGCTTTGGGGAACAACTATAGATACCTCATCTCCCAACGAGGAATATTCAATAAACCCGTTCGATTTGAGAATCTCCATCGGCGAAAGCTACATTCTACCGTCAAAATGGTCAAGACTAGCGTGCTCAACGATGCGCTCAACGCCATCAACAATGCTGAGAAGGCTGGAAAGCGCCAGGTTCTCATCAGACCTAGCTCCAAGGTCATTGTCAAGTTCTTGTCTGTGATGCAGAAGCATGGTGCGTGAATTTTTGATACTTATACTGGCTGTGCGGTGGAACCTCTCTTCCCTCGGGTTGATAACTAGGCGGAAGTCTCGATTCATAAACCACACCACGGTTTCTGCCCTTTAAGTACCCGATATATTGATACCAATTTGGCGACCATCTTACATGTTCCCTCTCACAATTTCACTTGCTGATTTTGTATTTTCATCGTGGTTGGAAACTTTTAATTGGTCGCTACATTCTACTAACACTTTGCTTCAATTCAGGTTACATTGGCGAATTCGAGGAAGTCGATGACCACCGCTCTGGCAAGATTGTCATCCAGCTTAACGGCCGGTATGTTCCCTCGGAAGCTCCCATGCACACTGGCGATATACTGATATGTCGTGATATAGCCTCAACAAGACCGGTGTTATCAGCCCCCGCTATAACATTCAGCTCCGTGAGCTTGAGAAGTGGGTTGTCAAGCTCCTTCCTTCCCGTCAATTCGGTTACATTGTCTTGACGACCTCCGCTGGTATCATGGACCACGAGGAGGCCAGACGCAAGCACGTTGCTGGAAAGATCATTGGGTTCTTCTACTAAGCAATCAACCTAAAAAGTTAAATGAAACCTATTTATCTGCGGGATCATAGTCTGTTGTACTATTTGCTTGTGCGGCGGAGTCAAACGGGCCGTCGTGTACGATTTGTTTCCCATAAATAGACGGGCTTATAGCAGCATCTAATACAATGTTTCCCGTAAATTATTATTTTTTCGGTTAATAATACTTAATCCTTGTGCCTCCTCGATAAACTGCAAGGTCGCGTGTTTTGAGTAACTCGCGGCTCAATTGCGGACAAGCCGAGGTGATTGCTTCACCGCCCCGAGTTGGTCAATTCTGCCACATCCGACAACGACTGCAACCTGGGGATTATTTCGTCGCTCTCTCCTCCGTACAGTTTGTCGGTTAAGTTGATACAGATCGTGGGCCAGAATTCCCGGCTACATTCTCAACAATGCCCCTTGACACGATCTATATCACCCGACACGGGGTAAACTGACTCCGCTGCACTTAATTTTCCCCGCTCCGCTCCGCTCAAACAAGACAAAAGTGTTTCTCTAACAACTCTCGTTCACCACAGCACCGGTTAAACTGGACAATAGATTTGTCCACCGGGACCTATCGCGCAACCTATCCCACACCCACCGGAATCCCCGTCGACCCGACCTTAACGCAGCCCGGCGTCCGCCAGTCGCATGAACTAGCGGCGCATATCTGCGGTGAAACGTTTAAGCCAAAGCCATGCAGGGTGTATTGTAGCCCGTTCTACAGATGCCTGCAAACCATTAGACCGACAGTGGAAGGCTTGCGAAAGATTCAAGAGGATGAAAAGAGATCGGATACAGACTTGACGGTCAGGCTTGAGAACGGACTTGGGTGAGACGCCCCCTTCCTTTCAAACCGCCTCTTGTTATCCGCGCACGTTATAACAGCCTGGACTATCAATAGAGAATGGTTCGGCTCTTCCTCCTTCTTCACACACCCGTCCCCTTCCACCCCCGAGATTCTCACCACCCACTTCCCGACCATACTCTCTCCACCTTCCACCGCTGCTTCGCCTTCTCCGCTGCAAGCAGAATACCAAGCACGGATCATCCCGTCTCCCAATGGCGAAACCATTGCCCAACTGCACGATCGCATAGCCACCACCCTCTCACACGTCATCGCCACCGTCGATGCGGAACTCGCCCGCCACGCCGAATCTCACCCCAACGATCCCCGTAACCATCAAAGCCATGCTTTGTTGATATGCACACACGCTGCACCGTTGATCGCAATGGGCAGGGCGCTGACTGGGAATATGCCCGAGGATTCGTCAGAAGAGGACTTTAGACCGTTCACGGCGAGTTTAAGCATGTTTGTAAGGCGGAAAAGTGGCAGACGGGAAGAGCTGGATGATGAGGCTGAACAGGTTTGCGGAATGAAAGTTCCAAAATGGAGGGATGGAAGAGGTGTGGGCGGCGGCTGGGATTGCGTGCGGAACGGCGATTGTTCCTTTTTGGAAGCGGGAGAGGAGCGAGGCTGGTATGTCACGGTTGGAAAAGGGAATTCTTTTGATATTTTGGCTAACTTTTGGGATTGGTTTAGGCATTTTAATGGTGAAGAGGATTTCATGTCGATGCCTACCTCGCTCGTTGCGAGCACGCCTGATAGCGCAGGCAGCGAGGCGAAATTGTAGGGTACATCAGGAATTGCGTGCGCCTTTGCGCTCAGTTAACCGGCTATGCTATTTCGGCTTTTCAAAGACACAGTATACTGAAAACAAAATCAAAGGTCACAAAAATATACAGCTCAAACAGTCATGGCCAAGAACTGTTATTTAGCGGTATCGGAAGTCGTCTTGATACATGCAATCGGCGACGTTAGCAGCATCATAGATTATATCCTCGCCTTTCTTCCTCTAAATGATACGTAAATCTGAACTGCTACATGAAGGTGGGCTGGGTATAACATACAAAAGATAATCAAGAAACACCCGCATGACCCATGAGGGTAACAGTCAATGCAAGTCCACGCATTTCGTTTATGGTGGATACTCTTATGAAAGGGGGAAAAGTAAGCACCTTGCGAGCATAACTTATTGGTCGGCTCGTTCTTGATTTGATTGCTGATCCTGATGGGCGTCACCCGCATTCCTTGTAGTGTCTGTAGGAACCGGAGTGGTCGCATCTTGTTCGACACTCGGATCATTGGTCCCCCCTTGAGGGTGAGGCGCTGTAGGATCGGTATTCACTTCAGGCTGTTGCTCTTCTGCCTGCTGTCGCTGCTCTTCATTCCGCCTGGCAACTTCTGCAGCGTTTCGAGCCGCAATGTGGCGTTCACTCAAGCCCGGGATGAAACTCGCAAGGAATATTGCAACAGATCGTTCTAAGCTACGCAAGCCGTCCCAGATGCCGCCGTGCTCTGCTTGGGCCGGATTTCCTTGGGCTTGCCGGCCGTTTATAGGTTCATTTCGCAAGTTGGCATCGAAAGCCGTATCGTTGGGTCTCTGAGCGGCCGGCTGTGCTTGTCGTTGTTGACCATCAGTGGGTAAAAGATTTTCTAAATGTTGCTGAACAGGCCTCAGAACAAAGCGTTGGATTCTCTCTGGAAAACTCGTCTCCGAAAATACCGCGACAACAGCAGATGCAAGGACGAGAAGTGTTCGAAGCCATGATCCTCTAGCACTGAACAAATAGCTGATGAAATATAGTCGAATAAAGAGCCAAAAACTCCGGATTATGGCCACAAGATTAATGGGTCTAACATATCGTCGATACCGACGCCGAACCAACGGTGGCCTAAAAACTCGATTTCCAGGAAGTCGTGCAACGAAGCCAGGTGCTCCTAATGGAGCAATGTTTCCACCCATGAACAGACCTGGAATGTTGGCGGCGGGTCTTGGGGCACGAGGTCGAAAAGCGGACGGCAAAGGCTGATCATTTGGGCGCATCACTACGTACTGGGTGCCATTTGGAGCTTTAAGTAGGTATGCAGCGGTTGACGGAAGAGCGGCATTGGTAGATTCAAATCTGGATTGATGATTATTGAATTGAGGTTGTTGGCGGGCTTTCATGACGCGATGCTGATCTGCTCTGGTCGCAAGGTTCAATACACGGGTAATCCAGCTCTCCAAAGCAGGATCTCGTGGTTTGAGAGGATTTCTATACTGCTCATCTAGCATCTGATAGAGTTGGAAACGGAGCCTCGCAATCTCATCAACGGTGGGAATTATACCACGGCTAAACTGCTCCTCCAACGCAATGATATTTTGTGAGATGAGTGAGAGTCGACTTGTTTCTCTTTGAGGATGTTCAACGGAAGGCATAGAAGTTGGTCGATCGGTTTGGTGTATCGTGCCGTTTGTGACACTGTTCTGTTGGCTGCGGAATATTCGATGAGGATTCAAATGAGACATATGGGTCGAGAACTCAGCAGAGTTATCCTCCGTATTGCTTACGCGCAATCCCTGCAAGCTAGTGTATGAAGAGCCAGGCTCGGTCACTTCAAATCCGTTTGGAAGCATGCGCCTAAAACCTGGTACCAGCGATGGGGTCTGTCCAAATTGGTGCGGATTGGCCGAATTTGGAGGAGCGGACGAAGTATTTCCGGAATTGGACATGTCCCGCTGGGATAGTCCAGTAGCCGGCTCACATGTCTCAGATGAGACACGTAAAGCGGGCAACTGGGAGTTATCAGCAGCTGTGTCCTGCTTAATTGTAGGGTCTTCCCGGGGTTCAGTAGCCGACTGAGGTGGAGCCGGGTTTAAGAGATCTTGTATTCTCTGAGATCGGCGTGAACTAGAGCGCTGGGTTGAGTCTTGAGAAACGCTCTCTTGTCCTTCACTCGAGTTCGTAGAAGCAGAAGTTTCCATGAGCGGAGTTCCCGGGGGGAGGACGAGGTGGATTGAGTGGATTTCGCCCTATTCAACGTAACCGTCAGCTCGCGACTCTAAAAGAGATGAAGAGAATACTGACATTTTCCAGCTCAAGAAAGTTAACAAGCCTCTCCTGGGCGTTCACAAGTTCCTTGCCTCTATATATGAGCCGTTGCGTTTCCGGTAGCGGTCGAGTTGACAGCGCGTTGGTTATCATCGACTTCAACTCGGAAATTGTTGTCGTAGAAGCAACGTGGTTAAAAGAGATTCGAGCTGAGGTTTTAAACGACGGCGAGAGGATCTGTAAACTAAGTCCGTCCACGTCCGGCGCGGTCGAATGCGCTTTGATTTCAGCGTCTGCGGGAACCGGGTCGAGAGCCATGGCTTCACAAGTCTTCTGACCTCTCAAACGAAATAGCCGGGGACACTATAGCATACCCTAGCTCCCTATAGCCAGAAAACCCGGTGTTCCTATTGAAAAATTGTTTAGCCAGTGAGTGTACGGGTTCAGTTGCGGGCGTTGGGCAATGAAAGGTCTCAGAGAGTGGCGGAGAATACCAGTGGCATCAGCACTTTAGCCGCTGGGCGATCGGTACAGATGAATAAACAAGAAACCTGCTGAACAAATGAGTAGACGCATGATGGCGATCCCAGTGCTCTCTGCCTGAGAATGCTTCCATCCGTCCAGACTGTTTTCTCTCCAACCTGGCCTCTCTTGAACTCACCTTCCAGCTCGCCCGGAAAATCTGTTGGCCCGACACCCGTCATCATCAACTTTTGCTGTTGATATTCCTCAACCTGCACCAAAGCAACAATGCGCCGTTGCGGTCAGGCTGCGACTCCTTTTGAACCGTTGCTGATGGGATCTACATTCGATCATGGCGCTTTTATTTGTGACGCGGAGAACCGCCGCCTCCGCTAGGCCATCCGTCCTCTATCAGCCTGCGGATGGGAACCTGCTTGAGCTTGTGTTCTGCCGGCGTATGAAAGGATGTCCCCATTTACGGCGCCAGTTCTCGTCATCGAGATACTGGCGAAATCAGTCACGCAAGAACCATGACGGCCCCACGGAGGACCAGCCGTTCTGGTCCAAACTGCGGCTAGCACTGAGCAAGACTAAGGTTGAGTGGTACTCCATTCCCGTTGGGCTGGGAATCGCCTACCTTGGCGTTATGCAGTTCTATAAGACTCAAAAAGCTGAGAGAGAGAGGCAGCTACGAGAATCGGCGGAAGGATATGAAGAGAGTTCGCGAAGAAAAAGGGTACGCCTGTCCGGACCGTGGCAGGTTCAGATCATGTCGACTTTGCCCTTGAAAGCCATGTCGCGTTTATGGGGTCGATTTAATGAGCTTGAACTGCCTTACTGGTTCCGTGTTCCCGGCTTCAAGCTGTACTCTTGGATTTTTGGAGTAAATCTGAGCGAAATGGCCGAACCAGATCTTCATACCTATCCGAATCTTGCGGCATTTTTCTATCGGGAGTTGAAACCTGGCGTCCGACCTCTGGATCCTAACCCAAACGCGCTCCTTTCTCCCGCAGATGGCCGCATCCTACAATTCGGTAGAATAGAAAAGGGGGAGGTCGAACAGGTGAAAGGAATGACTTATAGTCTTGACGCGCTTTTAGGGCGTGACGCAGGGAGTCCAAGGTTGGAGGCCACGCATCCAACCTTTGAGACCGCCGAGATGACGCCAACAAACGCGGATAGCGACAACATGGCTGCAGAGGAGGAGTTCGCGAAGATGAATGGCATCAGTTACACGCTACCCTCGCTTCTTTCTGGAGGTAAAGGCGGCAAGAAAGCCAGTTCGATGGACGCGTCGGTTGAGTCAAGCTACAAATCAGAGGCCAAAGTCCAAGCCGATCTCGCCAAAAGCGAAACTCCATGGTATTTGCCCAAACCTACATCGAACCGTGCTCTCTACTACGTCGTCATCTATCTCGCACCGGGAGATTACCATCGCTTCCATTCTCCGGTGCCATGGGTGGTTGAAAGTCGTCGTCATTTCGCCGGGGAACTGTTTTCTGTATCCCCGTATCTCCAGCGCACACTCCCGGGCCTCTTTCACTCTGAACGAACGCGTCGTCCTCCTCGGCCGGTGGAGATGGGGTTTCTTCAGTTTTACGCCCGTCGGTGCAACTAACGTCGGGTCTATTAAAATTAACTTCGATAGCGAATTACGCACCAACAGTTTGACTACGGATACTGAAGCAGACCGCCAGGCTGCTCTTGCTGTCAAGCGCGGAGAAATCTATCCAGGCTACGCTGAGGCGACATATCACTTTGCGAGCAAAACTTTGGGGGGCCATGCATTGAGGCGGGGAGAGGAAATGGGTGGGTTCCAGCTAGGAAGTTCGATTGTCCTGGTTTTTGAGGCGCCCATGGGAAACTCTGATGTCGGCGGGAGCGGTGAGACAGATGATGGCTGGGGGTGGAAGATCGAGAAGGGACAAAAGGTGAAGTACGGCGAGGCCCTTGGAGAAGTGAAAGGAGTCTGAAGGCATTGAAAGACTCGATGCCGATTTTTCCGGCTTCCCGGCACCCTTCAGCCGCGCCGTTATTGTATATAACGCCTGGACTTAGTCTATATGTACAATAGAGATTGTATCTCACGAAATCCTGTCTTCATTGGGTTTGGTGTCGCTCTTTGGGTTTACTTGGCTAGCGTGTTTAATAGGCGCGTACGCAATCTGCTGGGCTTTTGATACAGATTGGGGTTCTTTCCATCCCTCGATTTGAACATTTCAAGCGCTTGAAGCCTACGTAAGTCTCCCAACGAGTGTTCGATTTGTCGCAGGAATGTCGAGTTCAGAACCAGTTGCAGCTAAGCCGCCTCGCGGGCAAGTGGGAGATGATTACTCGAAGCTGAGAAGTAGTGAGACATTGAAGTAATGAGTTTTCCCCGCGCTTTCAAATCGAGGCTTCGACGGACGTCCTTGGCCCCGTTGAAGACAGGGAAGTTTTGCTCAAGGGATAAGCCAATAGATGGTCAGCATGGCACCTGGTTTATCTGGTACCGATGTGACTTTTGATAGGTAAAACGAGTTCGTCAACAGGAGAAAAGCTTTTTTGATGTTCCGCAGACACTAGCCTTGAGTTTACTTTGCGGAGGCGGATATCACAAGCAAGTTATCGCTTGCAAGTCCAGGAGCTTTGGACATATGGGCCTGGAAGAGCGCCAGGAAAGTCGTTCCATCTAGCAAAAGCATCCCCCGCATGAGATCTTGGCAACCATCTGATAAGGCGGCGGATGAATGATATCACACTACTCCGTGGAGTACTCCCCATATTGTTCTGTCCGTAACCGGAGTCAAATGAGAATGAAGCTTTTGGGTTAGAATGAAGCAATTCTTCAGTTTCGTAGATCGAGCTCCGAAATCTCGAAAGAGTAAAAGGAGCAACAAGGTCCGGGAAGCTCGAAGCTTATCGGGTGTTCAGATCTTGGTTGAAACCAAGACGGCGGAATTTGTCTTGAATGTGGTTTGGTTTGAAACCGCGTTCGCCTCCAGCAGACAAGAAAGTTCAGTTTCGCGGGAGACGGAACAGGCGGTGTACCAGAGTATTTCTGACGAATAGTTCAAGTTCCCGCTGGGTCTGGAAAGGCTCTAAAATCCGATCGTCGCTTATTTGTCGATCTGTGGGTGACCGGGGCAAAGGACACCGGCATGAGAACGGCCAGAGATCCCCATCACCGACTTGGTTTCGGGCGTCCGATAAGTTAAGCGACAGCCGGAAGCTCATGGGATCCAGGGAACAAAGACGCAGGAATCTTCCAGCAATGGGTGTTGAACACGCAACCAAGCTGAGACCTGGGAATGAAAGTATGGACGGGCATCCAAATCATTTGTTGAGAGAGGGCAACCCATGCATCGAAAGCATCAACGGCCCTACTCCATTGTCGATGACGGAGCTCGTATTCTCTGGAGCGGGCCAATCTGGTTTGAGGACGCAGTCGCGATAGCGCCGAACCTCCGTCGATTGACCAGGCCAACGCTCCGGAATTGCCGCAGCAATCCGCGGAGATGGCGGCCTGGGTATCGACCCAATTGCTCGTCGCGCCAGGCAGGACTGTTCGCGGATGCGCTCTGCATACGAAACTGCTCCCGAGTGTCAGGAGGAGCGTTGCTCGCTCTGGCCTCCGTCGTCGTTTGTCGTCGTCGGGAGTCGCGGTGGTGATCGTCGCGGTGATGTCAAGCCCTTATCGCTCCTTCCGAGTCTGCCTCACGGAGTGGGAGTGGGTCCTTATCGTCACGTGCAGAGGCCGCCAAGCACGCCGCCCACCGCGCCAAGAGCAATAGCTTCCTTGGCGGACTGCAAGGGGGTTCGCGCTCGGGGGAAAATTCTGGTGTGCTGGGCGGGAGGGAGAAACGCCCGCCATGCTCCAGGCTGAGCACGGGGCGGTCGGCTGGGATGGCTCTCCTCGTAGGGCTGCATTCTATGGGGGAAGCCCTGTCGTACAACCGTTCAGAGGAACAATGATGCGCACGTGGGCCAGCTCGAAAAAAGGAATTGCCTCCTCCGGCGGAGCGCCAAATAATACCGGGCATCGGAGACCCCTGTTCGAAATCTCCCTGACTGCTCGGGGGCTAGCAGGAATGCACAGCTGCGATTTGGAGAACGAATTGGAACCTTCTGGACCAAAGGGAACCCCTGGGCATTCTTCTTTTTTTTTTTCCCTGCGGTTGAAGCCGGCTGGTGAGGAGTTTTCATCGCGCTGTTGGGCACACGATCATGGTGGAGGGGTTCATTCGAACATTTGCCCCGCCTCTTGTCTGCAAGCTCTGTTTGAGATGAACGCTCATTTGTCCCCTCCGGCGATGCCAAGGGGCAATTGCGCGAGGCCAAGCAATCCCTCCGCCGTTGAACGCGTCGTCAGTGGCCACCAGTCAGGGCCTCCAGCCCGAGCGGAATAGTGGAGTGGGAGCCCAGCGTGCGCCGTGGGAGCCCGTGAAACCTTCACCCCACGAGGGGTTGTTGATTGGCGCAGGAACAGAACTTGCAGCGTGTTTTGCCTCCGAACGGTCCTGTTCTTGGATTTGCGGTGTGGGCGAAACTTTCCATGACGAAAGTGGGGAATGCCTCGGGCGATCTTGGTATTCCGGGATTTCTTGCAGCTGCTTAAGAAGAGCCATCCGCCCGCCCGTGGTGATGCTTCGGAGGGAGCATATCAATTGCACAGTTATCGCCGTTGTCGTTGTTCCTGGGAACTTCCATCATATTCCCTCCTTTGTGCTGTGCATCGCAAATTTAAACTTTCCGCTTGCCTTGGGAGTATAACTTACATTCCGCTGAAGTGATCACGCAGAATTTTTGCCGTTTTGTCTCCTATGGAGAAAGCACCCCAAAACCAGGGCGCTGACGGCCATGGCGTCCTGTCCCAGCCGGCACACTGCTTGACTTACGATGAAGCAATTCGAGAACTGACCACCCATGTCGATGATGGGCTCACATCCGCCGAGGCCAAAAAGCGCCTCGAGACCTACGGGCCTAATATGCTGGAGGAAGGTGAAGGCGTGTCTGTCGTCAAGATCTTGATCCGCCAAGTAGCCAATGCTATGATGCTAGTTAAGCGGCCCATTTTCCCCTGGTCTTTTTCGGCCTAATGTCCCATGGAACTCTGTTTGTCTGATCCAATTTCTTGTGTAGGTCCTTATCATGGCCATGGCCGTGAGTTTTGGAATCCAGTCCTGGATTGAAGGAGGAGTTGTTGCTGCTGTCATTATCTTGAACATCATCGTCGGATTCTTCCAGGAGTACGCGGCTGAAAAGACCATGGACTCCCTACGGTCATTGAGTTCGCCAACCGGTACCGTCTCTCGCGACGGGGAGACCAAGGTCATTCCCTCCACGGACATAGTTCCCGGAGACATGGTGGAACTCAAGACCGGTGACACTGTTCCCGCTGATATCAGGTAACGAGCCACGAACATCTTCTGAAAAGTTGTCAAGTTGCTAACACAGTTCCGGTAGGCTTGCTGAAGCCGTTAATTTTGAAACGGACGAAGCACTTCTCACCGGCGAATCCCTCCCCGTTCAGAAGGATTCCGAGCTTACCTTCAAAGAAGACGTTGGGCCCGGAGATCGTCTGAATCTTGCATACAGCTCCTCTACCGTAACCAGAGGCCGTGCTCGCGGAGTCGTAGTGGCGACTGGAATGAAAACTGAAATTGGATCCATCGCTGCCGCTCTCCGTGCGTCTGATAGCAAACGTCGACCCGTCAAGCGTGGACCGGGTGGTGAAACGAAGAAACGCTGGTACCTCCAAGCCTGGACTTTAACCGGAACCGATGCTGTTGGAAGATTCCTGGGCGTCAACGTGGGAACCCCGTTGCAAAGGAAATTGTCTAAGCTCGCTTTGATCCTTTTCGGTGTTGCCGTTCTATTCGCGATTATCGTCATGAGTGCGAACAAATGGAGCAGCTCAAACGAAGTCATCATCTATGCAGTGGCTACTGGCCTGAGTATGATCCCCGCATGTCTTGTTGTGGTTTTGACAATTACCATGGCAGTTGGAACGAAGCGAATGGTGCAGAGGAACGTCATCGTCCGAAAACTCGACTCTCTTGAGGCTCTTGGTGCCGTTACAAACATCTGCTCCGACAAGACCGGAACATTGACCCAGGGTAAAATGGTTGCGAAAAAGGCTTGGGTCCCCTCTATGGGAACAATATCAGTGGGAAATTCCAACGAACCGTTTAATCCTGAGATTGGCAACATTACCATCCAAGCAGTGCCACCGGTTCAGCTTGACGATAACAACCAGGAAGCCGTCGTTCCGCAAGATCTGGTAACCCACGAGGCTTTGGAACAGTTCCTCAACGTTGCTGCCATGGCAAACCTCTCTCACGTTTATAAGTCCGAAGCTGGAGAGTGGCATGCTCGTGGTGAACCAACCGAGATTGCCATCCAGGTCTTTGCTTCTCGCTTCAACTGGAATAGGGATCGCTGGACCAAAGGAGACAGCGTCGTATGGCATCAGAAAGCCGAATTTCCATTCGATTCGGACGTGAAGAAAATGTCAGTCATCTATCACAAGATCACCTCGACCGAAGACCGGCAGATGGTCTTCACCAAGGGAGCCGTTGAGCGCATCATAGATTCCTGCACTTCCATCGCACTAGACCCGGCAACTGGCACGACCCCCATGACTGATGATCTGCGGGATCAGATCCTCGAGAACATGGAAAGTTTGGCTAAACAAGGACTTCGTGTACTAGCCCTCGCTGGTCGTGAATACACCGACTCTGTATTGGAAGATGCTGAAATAAATCGCGAGGACGTCGAAACTGGGCTTCAGTTCCACGGTCTGATTGGCCTGTACGATCCTCCTCGTCCGGAAACGGCTGGTGCTATCAAGGAGTGCTACAATGCTGGAATTGAAGTCCATATGGTCACCGGTGATCACCCTGGTACGGCTCGCGCTATTGCTGCCCAGATTGGTATTGTCCCTGCCGACATGAGCACTCTCTCCAAAGATGTGGCAGACGCAATGGTGATGACAGCCGGTCAGTTCGACAAATTATCCGATGAAGAGATTGACAACTTGCCGACTTTACCACGTGTTATCGCCCGGTGTGCTCCTCACACCAAGGTCCGTATGATCCAAGCATTGCATAGACGCGGCCGTTTTGCCGCCATGACTGGTGATGGAGTCAATGATTCGCCGTCCCTCAAGCATGCTGATGTTGGTATTGCAATGGGTCAAGCCGGATCAGATGTTGCTAAGGATGCTTCCGATATCGTTCTGACTGACGACAACTTCGCCTCGATTCTTAACGCAATTGAAGAAGGCCGTCGTATCTTCGATAATATCCAGAAATTCGTTTTGCACTTGCTCGCTGAAAATATCGCCCAAGCCTGTACCCTATTGATCGGGTTAGCATTCAAAGACCAAAACGATCAATCCGTTTTCCCATTGGCACCCGTCGAAATCCTCTGGATTATTATGATTACTTCCGGAATGCCAGATATGGGTCTTGGTATGGAAATTGCCGCACCTGATATCATGGACAGGCCACCACAGAGCGTATGTATTCCTTGTCCAAGTTTGTAATTGCTGTCTTCCTAACGTTGCCTTTTCTGCATAGAAACAAGGAATTTTCACGACTGAAATCATCGTTGATATTCTCGCTTACGGCCTTTGGATGTCCGCTCTTTGCCTTGCCGCTTTCTCGCTTGTTATGTTTGGGTTCGGCGATGGGAATCTCGGAGTTGGTTGCAACGACCGGTATTCTCCTGAATGCGATACTGTCTTCCGCGCCCGTGCTACCACGTTTGTTTGCCTAACCTGGTTCGCCCTTTTCCTTGCCTGGGAGATGGTCAATATGCGCCGCAGCTTTTTCCGAATGCAGCCAAAGTCCAAGAAGTATTTCACCCAATGGATGTACGACGTCTGGCGCAACCAATTCCTATTCTGGGCAATCATGGCTGGATTCATCACCATTTTCCCTCTTCTTTACATTCCCGTCATCAACCATGACGTCTTCAAGCATACCGGAATCAGCTGGGAATGGGGTCTTGTCTTCATCGAGGCTTTCCTGTTTTTCGCGGGTGTCGAAGCCTGGAAATGGGGAAAACGTGTCTTCTTCCGACGTCGCGCCAGAAAGCATCAAAAGGTCCCTCATGGTGCTGGCGAACGGGTTCAAGACGATGAGCAATGACTCGTGGTCTCAATTGGGTCCGAACTCCAGCTGGTTTTGGTTGGTCAAGGCGTCTGGCCAAAAGGTATGCACAAAGCGGTACTTGTAGATGCTGACTTCAAGTGTGCAAATAAAAGTTTTGCGTTTGATGATTTTGCGAACATGAATGAGGTACGTATATGGTTGAGCGCTTGGAGGACAAAGAAGACGCAGGGCGGAGGCCGATTCGATCGGTATCTCTGTCTAGTCAGTTGCTCGATTTCTGATTTCTGTATTGGATACCCTGTTGATTTCATAAATATGGCGACGATAGAGATTTTTAGTTGTAGGCTCATGCAATACAAGTGTAGCGCTTTTCAGCTTCGATTGCCATTATATAAAGTTGTGTGGGATTGAAACATCAGACTGACAATTCGCGGAGAAGTCGTGAGGTCCTGTAATTAGTTAGTTAAAGGACCCTGGAGCTTCCTGTTTACTCCGTATTACTGCAAGAGGCTTCACTAGTTACCATAAGCTAGGGACGGTCGAACTCCAACCTTAATTTGTGAGCACCAGTTATTTTTAGACTCCCGACCTTGAGCACACTCAAGGCGAGCTCCAGGCTGCATTGGGATGCGCTAGACCTCCAGATCCTCTTCAATGCCGAGACCCAACTCTCGACGACCCGTCTTTCCCAGCGAGGACGGTGCCTTCTCCTCCACAGCGAGAGCCGATGTGCACCAACTGGCTCCGCCTAGAACAGCAGCGGGGACAGCTTCAGGGTTGCGATATCATCCACGGGGACTGACAGGACTCTCGGGACAAGCGAGAGATGGCTTGGTCCCTGGGAATGCGCGATTCCAAAATGGTGGTGAGGTTTTTGAAGGGCTAGACGAGGAGGACTTTGAGGAGGACGAAGACGACGACAGCGAGTTAGACGATGGGGAGGATGAAGAAGATGAAGACCAGGATGAAGCAGCTGCGGACGACGAAGACTATGACATGCAAGATGACCGTATGTCTTTTGGAACTCTTCATTATTGAAGTTCTTGCTGAAAATACCTGTCCACAGAGAAAGACACCTCCGCTCCAATCCCTCCAAACCTTCGCGAGATCTCGTCGCTTGCGTCCTGGACTGTATCAACGCATAAGCCTGGCTGCGGTGTCGCTGCCCTCCGCCATCCTTCTCCGTCCCAATTCTGGCAATCTGACGGTCCGCAACCGCACACCTTATCCTTACACTTCTTCAAACGCGTTTCTGTGGTCAGAATACGTGTATATCTTGATTTCGAGCTCGACGAGAGCTACACGCCTACCAAGATGGTGTTTCTAGCTGGTATGGGTGGGAATGACCTGGTTGAGTTTGCTACATGGCAGGGTGAGACGCCATGTGGGTGGGTTGATATCCCTTTAGACGGAGTCGGCGGAAAGCATGAGCGACGGCCTAGAAGAAAGAAGCGAAGGATGAAAGAAAAAGACGGAAATCGTCAAATATCGAGCATGCTGGACCAGGAGGGAGGAGGGTTGTTCGATAGTAGCATGAATGATTACGACGAAATGAACACCGACAACGATGATTTTGACGACGATGATGATGACAACGATCCGTCTTCAGGGAATATCTTAAAGGCCATGGTCATCCAGGTTAAAATATGTGAAAACCATCAAAACGGCAAGGACACGCACGTCCGAGGTTTTCAGGTCTTCGCTCGTGACGACAGATATTATACCCGCACGCGGAGAGATAGCACTCGTAGATCGCTACGGAATAGTGGCAGTGCGAGAAAAGATGCTGATGTCCATACTGCGGAAGGTGAGCCTGACTTTGATTTGGAGAATGGAATGGCAACAATTGATGAATCGGAGTGGTTTCTACAACCCGAAATTCGCTAGACGTGCGCTTTGGGATGTCAGCTAAAATTTGAAACTCGGCGCCTTCCATTTGACTAGTTATATACCCTGCGTCTCTTGCTATCCTCTGAGACACATGCATTAATACCCTGGAGGAAAACGAAGAAAATTATTTACTTTTCGCTCTATATCCTATATCCAGCCATGCAAAATGCGCACACCGGTTGCCCGGTGCTACATTTCCAAGCTTATCTTATTATTGATCCCAACTTTCCATGATTCTCTCAAGCTCTGCCGCAACCGCATCACCAACTTCGCTCGTTTTAGCTTTTCCGCCAATATCGCCCGTGCGAATCCCTGCTTCAATAACATTGCGTACCGCGCTTTCGATAGCGCTGGCTTCGACTGGTCGGTTCAGCGAATATTGAAGCATCATGGCCATGGAGAGGATGGCAGCAACTGGATTGACAATGCCTTTTCCAGCGATATCAGGTGCAGAGCCTGCTCAGAAATCAGGTTAGCATTTGAAGAAGCGGGTTTGCAAATATCTAAATTCGAAGTTATGGTTACGTACCATGGATGGGTTCGTAAATTCCGTTCACTTTGGACTTTCCATCAGGGACCCCACTCAAACTGGCACTGGGTAACAAGCCCAGAGACCCCGGGATGACACTCGCTTCGTCACTGATAATGTCACCGAAAAGGTTACTGGTAACTATGATACCGTTGAGCTTCCGGGGGTCTTTGACCATCAACATCGCTGCGCTGTCAATGAGGTGATGGCCAAATTTAACTTGTGGAAATTCCTTTTCCATGATTTCCGTCACCACTTTGCGCCACAGCCGGCTCGTTGCGAGAACGTTGGCTTTGTCTAAGCTCCAGACAGGCAGCGGGGGAATACGCTGCAGCGCAAGGTGACCAGCAAGGCGGGTAATTCTTTCAATCTCCGGCCGCGAATATGGCTCCGTATCCATTGCCGTGCCGTCGCCGTTGTCTTCCCGTCGTTCCCCAAAGTATATTCCGCCTGTTAGCTCTCTCACGATGTTGAAGTCAACATCACGGCAGACATCGGCTTTCAGCGGCGAGATATCGACAAGCGATGGAGCGGCAAAATTGCAAGGTCTTAAATTCCCAAACGTTCCCATCTCCTTTCGTAGACGCAAGATGCCTTGTTCTGGGCGAACCGCACCTGTCCCCCATTTCTTTCCCAAAAAAAAACTGATCAGCGCTTGAAGAGATTATGTAGAATGGAATGGGAGACGCACTGGACCTCCGACAGCTCCAAGAATCACGGCATCCGCATTCTTTGCAGCTTCAAGGGCTTCTTCCGTCAACGCCGTTCCGGTAGCGTCTATTGAAGCCTAAGTTCCGTGACTGGTCAGCCAACAGTTCAATGGGCGCCCGTATACGAATTTTGTAGCTCTTTACAGCCCAGTCTTACTTACACCACCCAGCAAATGATCTTGGAAGTTAAATTCAATGTCGTCTCTCTTCTTTTCAACCACTTTAAGGACCTAGTCGCATACCATCAGCTTTCTTTATCGTTCGCCTTCCGCTGCTCTCCAAAACATCCCCATTGCATACGCACCTTAATCGCCTCTGCGGTAACCTGGGAAATCAAGAGTACATCGCTGTCAGTAATTGTTTCCGTAGACAGCTCAGTAGCCTGCGGACTCACCTCCGGCCCGCAGTAATCTCCTGCGAAAACGACGATATTATATTTGACCATTGTGCAACCTGGTTTGCCAAAGATAGCTCGAGATTGGTATGCAGTTAATGAAGCAGTCTGAAATGTTTTCGGTAAAGCAATTGTTGATATGGCCTTGTGTTAAACTGGAGGAACTGGGAGCTCTGCTGCACCTTCAACCCCGTGCCCCGCCATCCGATATCGGCCATGCAGCCAGCGGGAAGACTAGTCCCTTTTGGGTAAGTCGACCTCTGTTTCCCCTGACTTCATGCTTCGACTGCTCAATCGTCCTCAACTGCTAGTAAAAAAACATCTTTCAATATAGACTCCCAAATTTTGTACTACCCATCCGATAGTTACCCTCGTGGGGATGGTTATTATCTTCCCTCCCTAATTAGGCTACAAAGAGTGAACCCTTCAGCACGTCTTTGACAATGGTAAAGCAAGACCAAAACCATTGATATCTACCAACTTATCGGTTTGCTAACTATAATGGTAGTTCCAAATTCGCATTCAACAAGCGTGCTACGAGCTCTGGGGCCTTTGGCCGTAGACAAAGTGGAACTTGGTATAGAGATGATTGTTCGGGTTCTTGAACTCAGCACGGAGTCCAGCCATTAGCACTTCGGTTTCTTGCACAGTATAGTCCATGACTCTGGTATACAGAGCCATCATGAATGGCTCAAGGGCGGCAAGAACTTGGGTTAACTGATATCGCCCTAATTGTTTCATTTTCGGGTCTTTGGGCCATGTCCCGATGGGAACCTGGAAGATTTATCAGTCGCTGATGGATTCCAAAAAAAATCCGCGATAAATAAAGGGCTGGAATACCTTGTATACGTCATCTTGGACGTTGATAAACCCGGCATCGATCAGTTGTTGTTTATACGATGTTGCCACATTGAGTCGCTTCCCAAACCTCGCGCTGGCTTCATCCCCCACTTGCTGGAATTTCTTGATCAACGGCGCGTTGTCCAGGGAGTTGTCTTCAGAATAGACGGCTGTTTCATACTCCTGCATCTCAACCCATCCTCCTGGCTTCAAATTGTAAAAAACTTGGTGATATAGCTGATCCCAGTTGGATATACTGCCACCCATTGCGCGCCCGTGAATATAATCGAATTCTTCCCCGGGCTGATAGGACCAATCACTCTCAACGTCATCTACATAGAACCGGCAGTTCGGTGGAACCCATGTGGGCTGAATGGGACTGAGATCACAGCCGATAACTTCACAGCTGGGAAATTCATCAGCAATGTCGATCGCCCAAATCCCTAGCAGAGTATCTCTTGTCAGAGCCATATGTTAAACACGTCCGCAACCTTCGCAAAGTGGAAAGGGACC